AGCAGGGCACCGTGTGCTGTCTGGGAACTGGAGCAGCTCTACCTCTCAGCCGTAGCCCAGCACTGCTAGCCTCAGAGGCTCCAGTTCCCAGGCAGCACGCAGCACCCTGCCGAGCCGCACTGCACCCATGCAATGGGGCAGCTGTCACGTGGGGGGGTAGGGTGATCCCCACTGCCCCCTACTGTGGGGGGGAGCCTCTGTCATGAACCTTCAGAGGCCCTGATCGCTGATGCTGCAGCCAGTGAGTACTGGGCTTTTTTGTCTAAATGCCAGGAGGCCTTGGCCAGGCCGGGGCCGGGCAGGGCAGCCATGGAGGCTTCTTCCGCGGCTCACCCCACCCAGGGAGAGGCAGGCATAGCCAGAGGAGCCGCAAGAGAACCTGCAGCCACCCAGCTGCGCCTGCCTCTCCCTGGCTGATCCAAATCAGTGCCGAAACAGCATCAAAACTCCAAAATAGATTCAGTCGAATTGAAACAGAACAATGACCCTCCGAAACAGCCGAATCTGAAACCAAAACAAAACGGCCATTTCACACAGCCCTAGTGGACACCATGCGTGGGTTAACCTTGAGACTCAGGAAGCACCAGGGGCCAGATGATGGAGCTCTGCAGGCCAGATGCAGCCCTTATGCTGTATTTGATACCCCTGATCTAACACAACATAGGTTAGGAAAGTGGGAAAATGAAATGCTCGTTAATGACAGATAGTGAAACAGTAAGATGAAACCTGTTTACAATTTCAAGAATAACAAGCAAAAAGTAGATTCAGGAAGGCTTTCCAAATTTGCAAGGTTAATACAAGTAGAAAAATTAAATCACAGCTATAAAATATAGCATAACCTAATTGTTGAATCAACTGCTCTCTCAACATTTAGTACTTACTTTAAGACTGGACTTGCATTCTAGCTAAAGAAGAAATGTTAACATTTTGTCTCTCTTCCCTTACCATGGCACTATGCCTAAGAAAGTTCTCATACATACTGCCCAATCAAGGCCACTTGTTTAAAACATTAATACACTTAACTTTTTTCCCCATGCACTTGGACATGAAAAGCCAAACATTTCCAAAAGAAAGTTTGTAACGTAACACTGGACAGTCACACAATTAAACCTGACATCTACAGGGTTAAATCACCCCAAAATCAGTTTGAAAGGGAATTGGCACTGCAGAAAGATAGGGAAACATAGATGTACTACCTGCTTATCTACAGAAAAGCAGAGACTGCACCATGGTTCCCCGCCCCGCAAGGCAAACAGAAGCTAGAAAACAGATCAGCCTGTTACTCAATGATTCACTGGGCTTATTGACAGTTTTGTGCCACGAATTTCTAAACTGACACGTCAAAACAATATACACTAAAAAAATTACTAGTCTACTAAGAAGCAGTGGAGACTGAACAGCCAACAACAGTGCGAATCTTGGTGTGCAGGAGGAAAGAAAAGAGCAAAGGTTAGTTGTAAAAATTACATAAATGCAGGGGACAAATTTTGGCAGGAGATGGAAAAAAAAATTAAGAGGTGGTAAAGAGTAATATGAAGAAAGAGAAGAAAGAACACAAGCAAACAGAGGTGAAGAATGAAGAGCAGTAACTTAAATGTGGAAAATGAAATAAAATAAAGCAGGCAGGCATAGAATCAGGACGGGAAAGAATGCATACCGTAATGCCAGCCTCAGGCATAACAGATCATGAGTCAGGCCCTGAAAACAAGATTGTTGGGGGAAGAGAGTAGGGGGGGAAGGGATGATACATTTAAGAAAATGGAGCCTTTAAGGTACACTCAGCTCACACTTCAAATTTATTTCTTCTTCTACAATCACAAAATCTAAAAAATTCTGTAGGCTGCTACATGAAGACAGTCTCGTGTCATCACTTACCTAAAACTATAGAAAATGGGCACACAGGGCATTTATACACATCCTTTTTTTCCAGTGATGTGCCAGAGATCCGCCACTTCAGCAGACTAGACTTGATTGATCAAGTCTGCTCCGCATGCAAGCTGAGGCGAACTGCACTGCGCCATGTGCAGTTGTATAAGTGGTGAAACGCACATCAGCACGCAGAAAATGGTGACAGTGGGCTT